GAATTCCTGAATCATTGTAGATCTCAAATAAGAGATTTTTTTTTAAAATAGCCTTTCAAATGGCCTCTCTCATAAGAGATTGATTTTTGTCTCTGAACTCCCTCCCTCTGACTCCTATAATGTAGCCTATTTATTCAGAGCTTGATTTAACATGAAAATACCTGATTTTATTTTCTCATGTGGGTGGATTAAGAATTGGCATAAGCTGCTTTTTCAACTTCTTTATTTTTCTAACTAAACTCAGGTATAATCTGAAATAAAGAGTACCATTTATCTAAATTATTTAGATGAGGGAGTGTTTTGGTAACTATACATTCTTATTATCTGGGAGTTAAAATTTAAAGCATATATCATATCATGATCTTAAAGTTTATGATATAATAATATCAAACTCCTCAATCTGTATGATATGTGAATTATTACTTGGCCTAGCAGGAAAATACACTAATTGGGTAATTTAAGGAGAATATAATAAGGAAATTAATTATAAAAGTCTGGGCAGAGTGTAGGGAAATCACAAAATATAATTCATGACCCTGGGCCTGGGCAGGGGGAGAGGTGTTGAATACTTCGTGCTCTCATGTGAGAGCACTTTGTGCAAAGGATTGTCTCATAGAAACTGTGATCTTTGGATGAGTGGTTCAGCTAGCACACAGCAGTTCTTCAGAAGAGGGGCCATGAGAACCTCACTCTTCTCCCTCTCCCCCAGTCAGAGCTCCTGGCAAGTGCACTCCATTTGCTGAATCCAACCAAAGCCCAAGAGCAAGGTCACTCATAATTGCAGTCCATTTGGTCAGATTCCTGGTATACAATGTAGTAGAAAAGAGTGAAGAGAAGATCTGGAGGAGTAAAAGGAAGACACCCAACATAATATGTAATTTAAAATTTGAAAATGCAGAATACTGTGTAGGGAAAGTTCTGAATGTTTTTTGAATAATCAACATGAGCATTAGTTCTCATTATACAATAATTTGGAAATTATTTTGAATATGCCCTAACCCACTGATAAAGTCTGGAAATTGTTTCATTGAATTACTCCTGGAAATATTTATTTTGCTATCATTTGACATCTTGTTATAAAAGTAAAATAAAGGATTGTAAAAGCAGCTCAGAAACAAACAATATCTCCCTACCCAATCTTCTAGTTATTTACATTATCTAGGTGTTTCCTCTAACGAAATAATGCAAAAAAGGAAACCCTCTAATCCTGCACTATATATAGTATATATTTAATAAATATTCAATAGAAAGAATGGGTCAAAAATAGTTAAATAGCCTCTGATTAAGCTAGAGTTGTCAAAATAAGGCATCCTTACTTGCTTCCCTCCCCTTTCCTCTTTTATATTAGGATTGGTCTCTGTCAATGTTATATGGTATACTTATTTTTCCTACTTTCTTATTGGATTCTAATTTTTTTTACTTTTAATATATAAGAATTTTAAGTTTTTGTGGCTCCTATCCCTACTCCACTGAAACTGCTGTTACTAAAATTACCAACAACTTCTTGGTTTTTATATCCAATGGGTGTTTTTTTCAGTCTTTATGTGATCTGTTCAACTAAGAACAAAGCACTGTGGGCCACAGTTTAGATATAAAGCATGAATTTGATGTGTATCATCAATTGTCTATATTAATTCAAAGCATCTTTGCCATCTCTGAAGCATAGGTTTCAAAGTCATTAAAATTATAAATGAAATTAAGTGCTACTCAGAAAATTTGTTTTTGGTGGAATTAAACACAAATCATCAGGTGGAGGCCTTATGCTCAGTCAGAAAATCCATCCTTGTTATAGGGTTCTAGAAATGGCTCAAGTATGTTATGGAAACTAAATGCCAGACCTTAGTTGGCAATAAAGAAACTAGCCTCAGAGATGGAGAAAGAGCCAGAAATACAGAATGCCAGGGAGGAATCAGAAACATGGACCTCTGAAGGAATGTGAACAGAATGAAGGTGAGAGAGCTGGATAATGTGGTTTCTAGAACACGGTGAGATGCCAAGTCCTAAACTGACAAGATAAAGCAAGTAAGGATGAGCAGGGCAAAAGGGATATCAGTGGGTCTTAAGAAACAGGATGAGAGGCTGCTGTATGAAATTTATTATAATTCTATTTGGGATCACAAGTGCAGTTTTAAATTTTAATTAATTAGTGCATGCCAATTTGCTTCTATGCATAAACTAATTATTAGTAATAAAAAGTAAACTAATATATAGTTTTACTAGGACAGTTTGGTATGTGATCATGAAAGATCAAATTCTTAATTATATGTTAGAACAGGAAACAAATATCTATGGATTGGATATTGAGAAAATAAATTCAGTTTATGTAGGAGGAAAATGTTATTTGACAGCAAAATTAATCCAATAAATGCAATGTTATCTTAACCAAATTAATGCAATACTGGTTTTGACATTTATTTCATGTTATGAATTGACCCAAAATAGACTTAGAAGATAGTACATGAAATATCATAAACTTAATTGCAAAATACATATGTAATATTTGACAGATGCAACTGAGGAGATCATCAGACCACAAGGAGATTTATAAACAACCAGGCTTACAAACTACAGCTGATCTGATTAAAAAATCCATCAATTTTTTTGTAAAATGACTATTGCTTTACTTCATTAAATTTTAGAAAGAAAGTAGTGGAGCAGAAGAGACAAAAAATGAAAGCAGAGCAAGTTGAGGTGTAAGACAAATAGCATGGTTTCTAATCACATTTCCTTCTATTACACTAAACAAATATTCACTGATTACAGCTAAGAGACAGGGGCTGTTCTAGGAGCTTGGTCAAAGAATGTGAAATGTACTCATTTATTTGGCTAGATGATCAAGATACAATTGTGGCCAATGTATGTGAAACAAAGGGAATTATTCAGTGATTTATATTTTCTGGCAGCTCTGGTGGTGTAGTGCCTAAGGTATTTATTTGACTGCTAACCAGAAAGCTGGTGGTTCAACCCCACCAGCCATTCCTCAGAAGGAACATGGGGCAGTATACTTGCATAGAGATACTGCCTCAGAAACCTAAGGAGTTTTTTTTTTTTTTTTTTTAAGAGGCAATAAGCATAAAGACATTTTTTTAAAATTCCAGAATAAATAAAATCATAATGACTGCTTGTTGTTAGGTGTCGTGGAGTTGATTTTCAACTCATAGTGACCCTGTGTGACAGAGTAGAACTGTACCATAGGGTTTCCTAGGTTGTAATCTTCATGAGAGCAGATCACTAGATCTTTTTCCTGTAGAGTCACTGGGTGGGATCAGCCCACCAATCTTTTGATTAGCAGCCAGTGCTTAACTATTGTGCCACCAGAGCTCCTAAATGACTTCTTAGTATATTTGTATTACTTTTTCTGTTATGAGTACATTTTTTTAAAGACTTATTTTTTCCTCTTTAACTTTTCTTACCACCACCTGTCAGTTTGTCATACTGTGATGGCTTGTGTGTTGATGTTGCGCTGAAAGATATGCCACTGGTATTTCAAATACCAACAGGCTCACTCATGGTGAACAGGTTTCAGTGGAGCTTCCAGACTAGGAAGAAAGGCCTGGTGCTCTACTTCAAAATTTAGTCAGTGAAGATTTTATGGATCACAAATAGAACATGATCTGACTCCTTGGAAGTCAGATGTTTGAACACATCTTCAGGAAGGATCGATTGCTAGTGGAAAGCATCATTATTGGTGTAGTAAAGGGCCAGTGAGTGTGAGAAAGATCCTTGTTAAGATAGGTTGACACAATGGCTGCAATAATGGAATGGAGCATTTTGGCAATTGTGAGGATGACACAGAAACAGGCCATTTTTCATTCAGCTGTACATAAGGTCACCATGAGTTGAGGTGACTCTGTGGTAGCTAGCTAGCTATGTATCTATCATTGATCTACATCAACTTTTCTTAGACTGAACGAAAATATTTCTGTACATCTTTTGACTAAACTACATCTTTCTAGTAAAATCGTGTATGATGTGTAGGTTAACATTTTATATATAGTCCAAGTCTAATATAATGTAATGCCATTTACGGTTTGCTTAACTAGAGTTTCTCTTTTTCAATGTTTTAAAGTTTTATCTTAACTGAGGAATTCCTTCTCATGTGGTTATTGAGCAGAATATATAGGGACTCTCTCAAAAGATATATTTATTTCACTTGACATAACTTTAGACTCTTCATTATTGAGTCTAAATTTTGGGTATAATTATTTTCTGAAATAGTAGAAAAGGAAAAAATAAAAATATCTTGATTCGTCCAAGAAAGCAAACAGGCTACCTTTTGTTGTATATGTTTATGTTTGGATAGTTGCCTGAAAACTAAGGACAAAGGAAAGAAATTTACATGGAGATGCACTCAGAATCAAGTTTTGCAGTCTATATTAACATCCTTTCATATCATGTAAACATATATTAATACACATTCACACACATAAGTTTTCAATTGTTTCTCCAACAACTGAAAATAGGTTCAGCATTCCAAGTCCTGTATATAACTACCTTTGATAACTAAGATGATAGAAAAGAATTCAAAGTTCAAAAGCATCAACTTCAACAATTAGAAAGTGGCATCACTGGAGTTTACATGATGTTCTTCTGGTAGACAAATGCTTGTTTCAACCTGATTTGTTTCAAAAAGTAGATCTCCCACTTCCAGCCATTGCCTTCAAGTGTACATCAAGATAACAAGGGCTGAGAACCCTATAGATGGAACCTTGTAGGTATAAGTGGCAGTGATGTCATAGACCCTTGTGGGAAGATTCTATGAGTGATACTTAGTTGTCACAGAGACTAAACAAGAAAGATACATACTGAGTAAGGTGGGATCCAACAAGAGTGTAGTGCAGAATGCTATAATTTATGAATGTCTTTTTTGTTTTTCAATGGGAATTCAACAGAACAACACTTAATGAAGGAATGCAAAGACTTAACCACCTGGTACTTTCATAATTCTTAATGGTTAATTACTAGAAAATTAACAAAATTGAAATTCACTATTCTTAGACATGGAAGAAAGTGATCAACCTGATCAACCCATCTCATCAGGGAGGCAAGAAATTCGAAAGAGAAGACGACCCAGCCAACCAATGGTAGACAAATCCCAGCAGACTGAAGTGACAGAGAAAAGGAGATGCACGACCATGCCACAGTCATCTGGTCCCAAAGCTACCCATAGCACTGGTAATATTCCTGGAAGCAAAGACAATTACTCTGCCAAAGAATATGAGCCCCATAGAGTATCTTCTCAACTTCAGCAGACTTGGACAAAGAGAAAACGTGGACAGGAAATGACTGATGAATATCTTCAGACAGATATCATCACAGAAGAGAAAAAGGAAGAAATCAAGACATTTGCTGTATCAGCGGTCCCTGAAGAAAAGTCAGCTAATGTCAGAGAAGCAGACTCTGAATTGCCAGAGAGAGTTCATGAAGTAGAAATTCTACCAAGTAGACACTCAATTCATTTCAAAATAGACAAATCTCAGCAGACCAGTTGTACTGGAGACTGGACCATGATAAACGTTCCTCAAGTAGAAATGGAGGATAAGGGACTGCAGACGTACTTTAGTGAGTCAGAAATAGTTGTAATATATAAGCCAGATAGTTCTTTTACAAAGTCAAAGGAAGATGCCCAGAAAAATAAATCCTCAGGGATGATTTTTGTCGATGAATATCCTGAAATTCAACCAGCAACAAGTAGCAAAGAAGAAATTAGGAAGAAAAGTATCAGCAAAGCTTCATTTAGTCAGTCAATCCAAAACGATACTACAGAACTCATTTCAGGAAATGAACCTAAGAGTGATGTAACTATAACTGTTGTAGGAGAGAGCCCTTTTGTTAAAAAGGAGGCATCTGTTGAAATAAATCCTCCCTCAATAGATGAAATCCCAGCTGAAGTACAGCCTCTTGCTGCAGAAGAACCCCCTGCTGAAATCCAGCTACAACCAAATGAAAAGGCCCCTGTTGAAACACAGCCTCTAGCTCCTGAAGAAGTTCCTGTTGAAGTACCATCTCTACCAGCTGAGATGGAGGAGGCTGGTATAGAGGAAGCTTCATCTAAATTTCAGGCTCCATCAGCTGATGAAGCCGCAGTAGAAGTACAGCCTCCACCAACTGAAGAGGCTATTGCAGAAGAGGTTGCTACTCCAGTAGAGCCCATCCCTGCTGTGGAGGCCTCTGTTGAACTTCAGCCGCCACCAGCTCATGAAGCCCCAGTTGAAGTTCAGTCTCCACAAAGTGAGGAAACCCCAGCAGATGGGGCCGCTGCTAAAGTAGAGTATCCCCCAGATAAAGAGACTCCTGCTGAGGTACAGCTTTCACCAGCTGAAGAGATTCATGACAAAGAAGAGAATACCCTTGCTGAAGAGGCCCCTGGAGAAGTACAGTCTCCACCAGCTGAAAAGGCTCTGGTAGAAGAGGCTGCTGATAAAGTCCAGCTTACCCCTGCTGAAGACACCCTTGATGAACTTCAGTCTCCAGCAGGTGAGGAGGCCCCTTTGGAAGAACAGCCTCCACCAACTGAAGAGGCCCTTGCAGAAGAGGCATCTTCCGAAGTTCGGGGTCCATCAGCTGAAGGGGCTCTTTCAGAAGAGACTGTCGTTGAGCTTCAAGCTCCACTAGCTGAAGAAGCTCCTGCAGAAGAGGTCACTACTGAAGTTCAATCTCCACTAGCTGAGGAAGCCTCTGTAGAAGAGGTTCCTGCTAAAGTGCAGCCTCCATCACCTGAAGAGACTCTTGCAGGGGAGGCCCCTGCAAAAGTAAACCTTACACTGACTGAAGAAGCCCCAGCTGAAGCACAGCATCCACTGGCTGAAGAAGCGTCTGTAGAAGAGCCTCCAGCAACTGTGCAGGCACCTGAGGAAGATGTTCCCGCTGGAGTTCAGTCTCCATCAGGAGAAGAGAACCCTGCAGAAGAGGCTCCTGCTAAACCTCAGTCTCCAACAGTTGAGCAGGCCCCTGAAGAGGAGAATCCCGCTGAAGTTCAGCTTCTAACAGGTGAGGAGGCCCCGGAGGAAGAGGTCCTTGCTGAAGTGCAGTCTCCACCAGCTGAGGAGGCCTCTGCAGAAGAGGTACCTGCTGAATTTCAACCTCCATCAGTTTGGGAGGCCCTTACTGAACCCCAGCCACCAACAGCTGAAGAAGGTTCTGCAAAAGAGGCCTCTGATGAAGTTCAGCTTCCATTAGCTGAGCAGGTACTAGTAGCAGATGCTTCTGTTGACATTCAACCTATTCCATCTGAGACGGCTTCTGCAGAAGAGGTCCCTGCTGAAGTTCAGTCCCCACGAGATGAGGAGGCCCCTGAAGAAGAGGACCTTTCTGAACTTCAGCCTCTATCAGCTGAGGAGGACCCTGTAAAAGAGGCCTTTGCTGAACTTATGCGTCCCTTAGCTGAAGATCCTTCTACAGAAGAAGTCCCCAATGAACTTATGTTTCCCTTAGCTGAAGATCCTTCTGCGGAAGAAGTCCCTGCTGAACTTTTGCCTCCATTAGCTGAAGATCCTTCTGCGGAAGAAGTCCCTGCTGAAGTTGAGTCTCCACCAGCTGAGGAGGCTTCTTCAGAAGAGGTCCCTGCTGAAGTTGAGTCTTCACCATCTGAAGAGCCCCCTGTACTAGAGACTCCTGCTGAACTTCAGCCTCTACCAACTGAAGAAGTTACTTCAGAAAATGTGCCTGATAATGAACTGCCTCTGCTAGCTGAGGAGAACCCTACTGAGGAATTCCTTATAGAAGAGAACACTGCTGAGCCTCATCCTCCACCACCTGTAAAAACTCCTGCCGAAGAGACTCTTGAAGAGAAAGTGCCTACTGAATTTTCACTTACCCAGGCAGCAGATGTTTCACTGGTAAAATCAAAGTCATCTGTCCTAGAAGGGATTTCTAAAGATGAAAAGGCTTCTATTGTAGACTCTGAGCCTTCAAGATTGGACTCTGTTCCTGAAGATAAACCTAATAGGAAAGGAGAAAGTTCTATTGAAATAGAGGGTACCTTCCATATAAAAATACAATAAAGACCTCCTTCTTAACCATAGGCAGATCTTAATTAAGGTAGCAATCAGATGTTAGTAGGCTGTGGATATACATACTTTAGGGAGGATAGGCATTGGAAAAGTCTTTGTGAATAGGGAAATGAAATAAAACTTCAAGATTTGGAGTGCAGATTGGAAAATGAATAAAAATTGTATTGCTTTAAAATTTCTTCTGTTATTATTATTAAAATTAGGAGCTCTGGTAGCATAGTGCCTAAAGCACTTGACTGCTAACCAGAACGCTGGTGGTTCAAATCCACCAGCCACTCCTCAGAAGGTTGGGCGATCTACTTCTGTAGTGATACTGCTACGGAAACTCAAGGAGGGGTCCCTATGAGGTGGGACGGCAGTGAATTTACTTTTTTTTTTTTTTTAATTAAAATTTATAGTCTTTAAAGTACCACTTTTGAAATGAAATGAGTTTATGATTGAAATAATTAAAATATCCATTCTACATTAAACTTTTCTTGACAAGCATGAAGTATGCTCTACAGCCATATTTTATTTCTATCATTTCTAGAAGTACGTGAAATCTGAAGGGAAAAGGCTATTTTCCATAGTTACCTCATTTATTTTAAATTTCTTAAGTTTTAGTTGCACATATAAAGTTAGACAGTTTTCTCTTGTTCTCTTTCCACTTGTTGAAAAACACATGTATTTATTTCCTGGTTTCAGTCCAAGTTTTCTTTCCTATTCTCTTATATATTTTATATTTCAATGTGTGAACATTGAATTAACTTTATTTTTTTGCAGTGAAATCCAGATAGCTATAATGAACTATTGCAAAAAAAAAAAAAAAAAAAATCCATGTATAAATGTAAAGAAAAATAGACTTACATATTTATATTTATATATTCTTGCAGGTATATTTCAGTTTAGTTTCAATTTCCTTTGATATTATAATGTGATGTGTCTTGGGAGTATGGTTTATGTTTTGTGCACTCTGAACTTGTCATGAATAGAAATTTAGAATGAAGTTAAATCACTTTGGTATACGCTATTAAAGTTGTTAAATAGCAACTATGAATATTGTAAGGTCTAAAAACTCACTGCCATCATGTCAAATCTGACTCATAGGGACCGCTCCTTGGGTTTCTGAGGCAGTATCTCTACAGAAGTAGATCACCCAACCTGCCTTCTGAGGAGTGGCTAGTGGTTTTGAACTGCCAGCTTTCTAGTTAGCAGTCAGAAGATATTCTGTGGTTAGAAAATGCGGTCTGCTGGGGTAATGTTTAAAATTTGGCTGCTAACTGAAAGACTGGCAGTTAGAACCCACCACTGGCTCTGCAGGATAAAGACCTGGCAATTTGCTTCTGTAAAGATTACAGCCTAGAAAACCGTATGGGGCAGTTCTTTTCTGTCACATGGGGTTGCTGTGAGTCAGAATCAATTCAATGGCAGGCAACAGCAACAATAGTATTGTTATAGAAACCTTTAGGAAAATATATTGTCTAGGTACAAGTCAGTTGCAAAGTGCTGAAATGCTGAGATTATTCTCTTAAAAAAAGATCTTAATTCAGTCAAAGTATTTCTCTAAGTGAAAATTCTAGATTAATGATTCTGCACTGTTGATAAGCTTTAATGTCCTATGGTTATTTGATTGTTGTCACATTATTCATTAGCTTTGAGACCAAGGGCATATAATTTTCAAGTTAGCTTTTGAGAGTGTTATAAGATTTTTTTTTTTTTTAAGGTTGAGGCACATTATTCTAGAGTATGTAGAAATACATTCCAAGTACTTCCCATTTTTGCTTTTCTGAGACTCTTAATATCCAGTTAAACTTGTTTTTCTAATTTCAAGATTTTTTTTTTCTATTTTTGATTTTCTGTTGTGACTTGTTTTCTTTGTAAAATCAGAAGTTATATGAGAATTCAGAACTGCATTGAACCGCAGAGAACATGTTTAATGAGGATGAAATTTATCAACCAGAAACATGGGCATTGTAGCACTTAAAAACTGGATGTTAGCTGAAGCTGAAGTGGAGCTTGTGGCCTGGTCTAAACGTATACAAACAGGAGCAGGCATATTTGGGAAATCCTAAAGTCATAATTAAGAAAAGCTAGAAATGTAAATTATAGCAAGAGTTAGTAGCTGTGAAAATTTTGAGCAAGAAACATTAATCTTAAGAGACAGGTATTTAAAAACAAAACAAAACAAAACAAACTTGTTGCCATCAAGTTGATTCCAACTCCTAGCGACCATATAAGACAGAGTATAAGACTCCATAGGCTTCCAAGGCTATAAATTTTTATGGACACAGACTGCCTGATTGTTCTCCTGTGGAGCATCTGGTGGGTTTGAACCACTGACCTTTTGGTTAACAGCTGAATGCTTTAACCACTGTGACACCAAAGCTTCTAAAGAGTCAGATACAAATTAAAAAAATGTGAATAACTAGAAATTAGGGTAATTTGATTTTTAAAGTCAGATATTGGGAAAAATTCAGGGAGAGTAGTAACACATACAAGTGACAGAATGTATATAGAAGGCAAGAATGATATCAGTCTGCTAACAAAGAAAATTTTTACAAAGTATGAGATATTTTAAAACCAGATTTACTGATATACACCCTTTATACAATAAGCTGCATATATTTTAATTCTACCATTTAATAGGTTTTGACCCACGTGAACCACATCACCACAGTCAAGGTAATGGACCTAGTTATTACTCCCAATGTTTCCCAAAATTTCCTTTGTGACCACTGGATTCCCTTTCTCCTCTTACCTCTCAACCTTGCTCTCCATCTCCAAGTAATCTGATCTCTTTTTTTATATAATAGATAATTTTGCATTTTTCTTAATTTTTATGTAAATGAAATCATATTGTATGTGCCTTTTTAAAACTTTTTGGTTTCTTTGACTCAGTGTAATAATTTGAGATTCATTCATGTTGTATGTATTAATATTTTGTTCCTTTTTAATTGCTGAATTGTACTCCTTTGGATGTAGCACAATTTGCTTACCAAATCAGTTTTTGGTGAGCGTTTTTGTTGTATATAGTTTTCATCTATTACAAATAAAGCTGGTATTAACATTACTGTCCCAAGTTTTTGTGGGACATACGCTTTGATTTGTCTTGAAATAACTAGGAATAAAATACCTAGGTTTTGTGGTAGGTAAGTAAATGTTAATATTTTTAGGAAGCTGCCAAACTGTTTTTCTAAAGTGATTTGTACCATTCTATAGCTCTGGTAGCATAGTGCCTAAGGCATTTGACTGCTAACTAGAAGGCTGGAGGTTCAATCCCATCAGCCACTCCTCGGAAGGAAGATGGGGCAATCTATTTCCGTAGTGAAACTGCCTCGGAAACCCAAGGAAGGGTCGCTATGAGACTGATCTGACTCGACAGCAGTGCATTTGGTTTGGTTTTGGTATAGCACTGCTTGTACACTGTACCTTGTACACTGTACCAGCAGTGTTTTAAAGTTGAAGTTGCTTCACTTCCTCCTCTAGACTTGGTATGGGCAGTCTTTTTTAATTTTAGCCACTCTAGTGGGACTATAGGAGCTCTGGTAGTGCCATGGTTAAAGCATTGGGCTACTAACTCAAAGGGTGATAGTTCAAACCCACCAGTTGCTTGGTGGAAGAATGATGGGGCAGTCTGCTTCTGTAAAGATTTACAGCCTTCCAAACCCTATGGAGGTTATTATAAATCAGAATCAACATGGTGATGGTGACTTTTTTTTTTTTTTTTTAAAGTGAGAATATAGTGACACATCCTTGTGATTTTAATGTGTATTTCCCTAATGACTACTGTTGTTGGACATCTTTTCGTATACTTACTTGCCATCTGCATGTTTTCTTTGGTGATGACCTTTAAATCTTTGCCCCATTTTATTTTTTAATTTGATTGTCTACTTCTTATTGAGTTGTAGGAGTTCTTTATATGGTCTAGATACAAGTCCTCTGTTACATATATGTTTTACAAATGTCAAGGAAAATGGAGCAATCTACTTCCATAGTGATATTGCTTTGGAAACCCAAGGAGGGGTCGCAATGAATTGGATCCGACTTGACGGCAGTGAGTTTTTGTTTTCATGCTCTTATGAATATATAAATCTAAGCTTTCTTTCTTGTAATATCTGTTTGATTTTGACATTAGTGTCTTGCTGGCCCCATGGAATGAACAGGGATGTGTTTCTCCTTCTATTTTTCCAAAAGACTTTGTTCAGAATTAATACTGGTTCTTCCTCAAATGTTAGATTTCACCAGTGAAGCCACTTCAGCCTCAAGTTTTATTTGTGAGAAAATTTTTAACAAATAATTCTATTTGTTTAGCAGATATAGTACTAGTCATTTTGCTTCTTTCTTCTTCTGTGAGTTTGATAGTTTGTGGCTTTCAAGAAATGTATTCATTTCGTCTAAGTTGTAGAATTTATTGGCATAAAATAATTGATAGCATTTCTCTGTGTCTTTCTATAGTGATGTTCTTTTCTCTAATTATGATATTGATAACTTTCTCTTTCTTTTTTTCCTCCCAGATCAATCTAGCTTAAGGTTTACCAGTTTTACTGATGTCTAAACTTGTCTGTCGAATTGTCCTACTGTGGTGACATGTAGA